TCCAGGATGACTACTACTATAAGCCATAACATAACTTTGTAACTACTCCAAGTTTGTTATTTTACAAATCCTTTTTCTCCATTTTCATAGTTCCTAGTGGAAAAAACCTCCAAAAATGTCTGTATGTTTAAGGCATGAAGAGAGGAGGGTAGCCCTAGCCAGTTTGGCTCAGTGGATAGAGTGTCAGCCTGCAGACTGAAGGGTCCCAGGTTCAATTCTGGTCAAGAGAACATGCCCGGGTTGAGGGCTTGCCAATCAATGATTCTCTCTCATCGTTGATGTTTCTATCTCTCTCCCTCTCCCTTCCTCTCTGAAATTAATAAATATTTTTAAAAAAGAGAGAGAGAGAGAGAGAGAGGGAAGAGTAGAGAGGATGTTTCACTAAGCATTTGCCTCCTGCACATGCCCTAGAGTGAAACATTTTTGCAAACCCTGAAAAGAATACCAAGATGAATTGGGGCGTGTCCTGGATGATCCAAGGAGTAGTGAGCCCAGGAATCCCCTGCATTCCCAGGCAATCTTTAAAAGATACTTTCCTTTGCAGATTCCAATGGCCCATTTGTTAGTTCTGTGCCCACTGGCCTGACCCTTTCCAACAGTGTCCTATGTCTTGACCCAGAGCACAGCAGCCATCCTGGCCTTGATCCTCTTCTGCCCGACACTGCCTCAGATGGCTGCAACCCAGCTGGTCAACCAGGTTAGCAGCAGCTGCCCTCCCTGAATAGGGTAGCACTAGGTAGGTAATGAGTTGTATGGCTGATAAGACTTTAAGGAGGTCTTCAAGCTCCCCCTGCCCCCCAGGCGTGGCTCAGGGCTTGAGTGTCCACCTATGAATCAGGAGGTCATTGTACGATTCCCAGTCAGGGCACATGCCCAGGTTACAGCCTCGATTCCCAGTGTGGGGTGTGCAGGAGGCAGTCGATCAATGATACTCTCACATCATTGATGTTTCTACCTCTCTCTCTCTCTCCAGTTTCCTCTCTGAAGACTTTAGGGAAGGAACAAAAAAGGGAGCACCCCTGCTCTGTGCATCCTCTCATTGAGCCAATATCATGCAAATAGGCCAATGAGGTTTTGTTCAGCAATTCAGGAATTTGGGTGACTTGCTGCAGACCCTTTGCTTAAAGCTTCTTTGGTGGATGGATCATGGGGCCTGAGGACAGAGGGAGGATGTATGTGTCCTCTGGTGAGCAAGAGGACTCATATAGACCAAGCTCTGAGCATGGAGTTTTTCTCTACTCTCCAGCCGGTACTCACCGTGTTTGCTGTGTCTTCCCCACAACGTGGGGGGTTAGATGGGGAAGGCAGCCTGGTGGAGGGTCTCTCAGTGACTGCTGGAGCGCCGGCATGGGTAAGAACCCCACCCATACCAAACAGGGGGCTTGGGGAAGGCTGGATTCTACTCCTCAAGGGAGAGACCGTTGTTGTTTTTTGTGTTTGTGTTTTAAGAAGTGAGATTAATAGAAAACATTGAGTATGCTAATTATATCTAAATAAATGCAAAAACTCAAGTGAGTTTTTGAGAGTTTATCTCTAGTTTGCTAGTTTGGCGTTCCACTGAGTGGAGAGGCTGGTGTGAAAGGAAATGGGCTGGCGTTCAGTCCTCCAGGGGGAGGTTTAATGAGGAATAAAGGAGAGAGGTTGGTAGCATCAAATAAGGAAATTTAATCATTTTTAGATATGTTTGTATTTATTGAAAAAAGGGGAAGGGAGAGGAAGAGAGTGATAGAACCACCAACGAGAGAAACATCTATCAGCTGCTTCCTGCACACCCCCTACTGAGGATCGAGCCCGAAACCCAGCATGTGCCTTGACCGTGTTGAACTGGTGACCTTTTGGTGCATGGGATGATGCTCAACCAATTGAGCCACAGCAGCCAGGGCAGAAATCTAACCATTTTGTGTGGTGTCTATAAAAGAACCAAATTAGCTGCTCTTTGCCCTCTGTCTCTTATTATAAGAGGTTATAGGGTTGGTGGTTAGGGATAGTCCCTTCCTGGGAATAAAACCCTGGTCGAATGGCTCCTATTTATTAAGTGCTTTATTCTGTGTTAGGCACTATACTAGGCCTTTACCTACATTTGATAAGATGAAGCCCAGAGAGCTTACATTAATTTATTCAATAAATGTGTCAAGCATGGGTTTGCAGTGGTGGACAAATCAGACACATCGCCACTTTCCTGGAGTTTATATTTAGTGGGGATAGCTTCCTCACCTAGAAAGTGGTAAAGCCAAGGTTTTTGTTGTTGCTGCTGTTCTTAATGGATTTCAAGTGTACAGAATAGTTCTTTGCTTATGACATCCTCTCCTTGTTGGCCTATATATGGCTCACCCTTACTTGGTTTCTTTTTAAGATAATACTTAATCATCATTATTAACCATCCACCCACAAGTAAAACTAGAACCTTAACAGTCACAGAAATCAACACACACGCACACATATGTTTTTTGTGTGTAGTTTCATCTCATTTATAATATTCTGAGAAGCATATTTTCATTTAGATGTTTTTTAACTATAAAAAGGCTATCATGTCATGCATAGTCTGCTGGCACTATTATTTTCTTGACATTTTATTGCTAAGGTTCATCCTTATTACTGAGTGTTACTGTGGGGTTCACTCATTTTGACTGCTGAATAATTTCCATTGTGTGAATATACCTCTGTTTATTCACCCATTCTCCTGTCAATGGGCACTTGGGTTACTTCAAGTGTTTTGCTGTTGTGAACAGTGCTGCTCTGTGGATGTCTCCTGGTGGAGGTTTAGAAAGGTTTCTCTTGGGTATATAAGTGAGCAGTGAAATTCCCGAGTCAGAAAGCATGTGTTTGTTTACCTTTACAAGAGGCTGCTATACTGTGTTCCGAAATGGTTATCCAATTCACACTCCCACCAGCAGTCATAACTAGTTCTGTCCTGTATCTGAAACCAAAAGTATCTGTTGCTAAAGTCTCTGCTCTTTTTTTTTTTTTTTTTAATATATTTTATTGATTTTTTACAGAGAGGAAGGGAGAGAGATAGAGAGTTAGAAACATCGATGAGAGAGAAACATCGATCAGCTGCCTCCTGCACATCTCCTACTGGGGCTGTGCCCGCAACCCAGGTACATGCCCTTGACCGGAATCGAACCTGGGACCTTTCAGTCCGCAGACCGACGCTCTATCCACTGAGCCAAACCGGTTTCGGCAAAGTCTCTGCTCTTAATACCATGTGTACTACCTCTCTCCTATCCAGGGGTCCTTTTTTATTTGTTTGTTTGTTTGTTTATTATTTTTATTGATTTCAGAGAGGAAGGGAGAGTGAGAGAGAGATAGAAACCTCGATGATGAGAGAGGATCATGGATCGGCTGCCTCCTGTACGCCCCCTATTGGGGATCGAGTCCGCAACCTGGGCATGTGCCCTGACTGGGAATTGAATCGTGACCTCCTGGTTCATAGGTCGACACTCAACCACTGAGCCACACCAGCTGGGCCAGGGGTCCTTTTTTAGAAGCAACACGAACCCTGTTCACTCTCTGGGTTGAGCAGTGATGACTGGAATCTGGGAGCATCACTGGCCTGAAGTCAGGAGATGGGTGAAGCTCATAAATCATGAGACTCCAAGACACTCTGATAGGTTGTTCCTCTTCCATGAAATTGGAAGCTCCAGTTCCCTTGGGTGCCCTCTAACCTGTTCTCAGCAACTTCCGCCTTTGTTGTTACCCTGCCTGTCCATCCCCAAGCTGGGTATAGGAGGAGGAGAGGAGCACAGGCCCTGATCTGTGTTCCTCCTCTCTCCCCACAGGTGTACTGGATGGGACCGGTGCTCGGCACCAATATTGCAGGCCTAGCCTTCAAATTTTTGTTCTCCTCTGGTGCTGCACAAGAAAAGCTGTAGCCTTTATGACTTGCTACAATGTGGAGACAGTGAAGCATACCGTGTTTCCCATTTTGCCTTCACCACCAGACAACCTCCACTTCCAGGTTCCAAGACCCTCCCCAAGCCCGAGCACAACCGAACCTCTTTCTTCAAGCTTCCCTTCCCCGTCCTGTCCTTTTCTCTCTTTTGACCAGCCTGTTCCCCACGTATCCCCATCCCTTCCTTTCCCAAAGAATCAACGTTTAGGACTCCAGTGTCCTGATCACAGCCACATAGGAGGCATGAACCCTCCCATTGCTTCATAGCCAGGACTGTCTCTGTCCTTCCAGTGCCTCCTGCTAGGACTGTGTGAGTTAGGGAAGCGATGTGAAAGCTGGTTCTGGGTTTTAAGCCTTTTCCTCTCCCCGGTCCTCCAACCTCACCACCAACCTATCCATGGAAGATAGCTTCGTCCCCCTATCTGTCTCTGTGCCTAACAGGCAGGCTGAGGGTTGGGAAAGGAAGGTGCTGGCATGGGTTGGGGGTAGGGAACCCGGGCTCTGAGAAAGCCAGACACAGCAGAACTATTCTTGTCCCAGAGCTGCAGGGTGCACAGATTCCAGCCCAAACCAGCCAATAGAAGAAGGCCCTCTAATCCCCGAGAACTAAAGCATTCCTTTCAGTTATCCAACATCCCTGCTGCACCCCACTGCTGACCCCCACCCTCACCCTTACCCCTGGCTGACTCAGAGGGGCCTGGAAGCCCCCAGGAGCACATTCTCATAGTCCGTGAAGTGAACTCAGCTTGCCTGACCTTCCACGCAGAGCTGAGGAAGGTTCTAATATAGATGTCAATCAGGACTATGAACCCCAACTTTGACATGAAAAGAAAGGGACCTTCCCCTTATTCTTGGTCCTTTTCTTCCAGAGCCTCTCCAGCCCTGACCCTACCCCCACCTTTACACCCACGCCTCTGCTCACCTCTCATTTGAGGAGGCAGAGGAGACTCCAGCAGCTTTACCAGAGGCATGAGAGTGGGCCAGCCCGCTGCAGCTGTGAAGGGGTTAAGAGGCTGGGCCAGCCCCTTCAGCCTGCCCCTCCCAGGGATTCAGAGTCCTCTATAAAGGGGACTCTCCACCTAAAGCAGGCCAAGGAGGTATCGGGACCCAGGCACTGTGCCCATCCCCTCTGCCATGTGGGAGCTGCAGTCGGCCTCCTTCTGGAGGGCCATATTTGCCGAGTTCTTTGCCACCCTCTTCTACGTCTTCTTCGGGCTGGGGGCCTCGCTGCGTTGGGGCCCTGGGGCCCTGCACGTCTTGCAGGTGGCTCTGGCCTTTGGCCTGGCCCTGGCCACGCTAGTGCAGGCGGTGGGCCACATCAGTGGAGCCCATGTCAATCCTGCAGTCACTTTTGCCTTCCTTGTGGGCTCCCAGCTGTCCCTGCTCCGTGCCTTCTCCTATATGGCGGCCCAACTCCTGGGAGCTGTGGTGGGGGCTGCCATGCTGTACAGTGTCACCCCACCTGCTGTCCGAGGAAACCTAGCGCTTAACACGGTAATGAGCGGCTGAGTGGGGCTGAGGGAACCTGGTGCCTTGACTCCCTGCCCGGTGCAGGTGGACCCGAACCCCGGGGATCTGGGACATGGTGTGTGTGAGGTGTGTGTGTGTTTCAGGGTGGGGAGGGTCCGCAGGTGCTTTGGAGGGATAAGAGTCCAGAGCCCTGGACTGAGAATCAAGCAACCTGAGTTCCCGTCTCAGCTTTCCTTCCGATTCCTCGCAGGTTCTTGAGGACGTATGTTACCTATGGGACCTCAGGTTCTGCATCCATAAAACTGGGTGCAATTACTTCCGACGCTAGGAGAAATTAGAAAACAAGTACAGTTACTATCGTCTTTCATCTCTAGGAAAGGGAGGAGGGTGGCTCCTGCCCGGGAAATCTTGAGGAGGCAGTGCTGTGACAGCCCTACCGAACCTCCTCTCTTGTTCCTTTGCCTAGTTGCACCCTGGGGTGAGTGTGGGCCAGGCCACCGTGGTGGAGATCCTCCTGACGCTGCAGTTCGTGCTCTGCATCCTTGCCACCTACGATGAGAGGCGGAATGGCCGCCTGGGCTCCGTGGCCCTGGCCGTTGGCTTCTCCCTCACCCTGGGGCACCTCTTTGGGGTAAGTAGGAGAGGGAAGCAACTACTCCTTTAAGGATTCCAGGGCCCCAAACCTTTCTCGCCTAACTATCAAACGTGAACATTACTCACCTCCCTCGGTATCAGTCAGCCCAGAGGAATCAATCCTTACTACTCTCTCTTGTGACTGCTGTAACTGGTCTTTCTTGAACCCAAGGTGGAAATGCATGCATTGTGGTTATTTGTGGGCTTAGCTGATGGATCCATAGTCTATCCCCAGATGGGGCATCAGCACCTTCACTCCACGGTGGGGCTCCCATGCGGTTGTCCTTCCCTGCTTGCTGCTAGAGGCAAGGTGCCAGCCCTCAGGGATATGTGAGCTGTGGGGAGAGGAGCTGGGGAGAGTGGGGGAAGTGTCTTAGTTACAACTGTGTCTTTTGCAGATGTATTATACTGGTGCAGGCATGAACCCTGCCCGCTCCTTTGCTCCTGCCATTCTCACCAGAAACTTCACCAACCACTGGGTGAGTGCGGGGAGAGGAGCAAGATGCTGAGGCCCCGGATGGGTGTGGATTGCAGGTTCCAGGTTTGGTTCCTGCTTCCATTTGGGTGTGCTGACTGCTCTACCAGCACTCAGCTAAACGGGCTGTCACAGAGTTTGGGATGCCTGTGTGAGCAGGATTCATTATTTTGCCAGAAAGAGAGGCTCTTGCACATATTGTTCCTTCACTGGTTCGTTAGAGAATTTTACTAAGTACCCACTGTATTCCAAAACTAGCACCGTCAGGACAGACAACTGAACAGGAAGACAAACATTCCTACTCTCAGAGGTCAGGATGGGCCTGGGCCTCATCCCCGTTCTAGCACTTTGCTAGCCAAGGTTGAGAACCACTGCCTACTGGGTATGTGTCTGAAACCAAGGTACATGCCCTTGACGGGAATTGAACCTGGGACCCTTCAGTCTATAGGCCAACACTCTATCCACTGAGCCAAACCGGCTAGGACAATACATCTGTTTTCTACCTGTGGAGTTGAGAAAGGAGCCGCCTTGCTCTTGGTCCTCTCCCCAAGCCTGATTATTCCTTTCCTCTTCCTACAGGTGTACTGGGTGGGCCCAATCATCGGAGGGGGCCTGGGCAGTCTCCTCTATGACTTCCTCCTCTTCCCCCGGCCCAAGAGTGTTTCTGAGAGACTGTCTGTTCTCAAGGGCACCAGGCCCAGGGACGCCAGTGCACAACCAGAGGGCACAGGGGAGCCTGTTGAATTGAAGACCCAGGCCCTGTGAAAGCTCCCGTTGGACAGAGGGAGCAGGAAGCTTCTGAGTTTATGTGGAGGGGCTAAGCCACCCCTGGATGAAGAAAGAGGCTGTGGGGAGGGGCTTGTACTTCTTTATTTTTTAATTTATGTGTGAGTTGTTTTTTTGCCTTTTGCTGTGTGAAATCTTTCAAGTTGCATTCATGAGCTGGTCGGTGCAAACTTCCCTTCCTCCCCATCCCACCTCTCTTCGCCGTTGTGTGTGCATGATTGTGTGTGTATGAATGTGAGTGAACGTGGCTGTGTTTTGGGGCAGGAGAAGTAGGGAAGGGAGAAGAGGTATCATCCTACGCCTTCCTCTCAGTGTGATGAGCACAGGAAACCAGGACCTTAAGTTTCTGGTCATGCCAATCAAGTGTAAGGTTCTAGGTTTCTTTTTTTTTTTTTAATTTTTATTTATTTATTTATTTATTTTATTGCTTAAAGTATTACAAAGGGTTTTACATATGTGTCCTTTCCCCTCCCCCCCCCCCCCCGCCCTTGACAATCCCCTGGCCTCCCCTACCCCACAGTGTCTTATGTCCATTGGTTATGCTTATATGCATGCATACAAGGTTCTAGGTTTCTGAGAGAGCAGGGAAGCAGGGAGTTCTCACAGGAGGCAGATGGAGAGAAGTGGAGGACACAAGGCATTCCAGGGGTTGGGAGAAGGGGCAGGGGCAGGAAGAGAGGAAATGGAGTTATTAGCCCCAGTTCAGGATGCAATTGTACCAGATAGCTGTGGGGAAGGTAAAGGGAGAGTGTGGCCAACTTACCTCAGGGCTGCTTGCCCCAGGGCCTTGGGTGGGGCAGTAGCTCTGAGAAAAGTGAACCCTGGGTTAGAGCCGTTCTGTTAAGCCAGGTAAACCTGTCTACATCCACTGGCTGGGCTTTGTGTTATTCTGGCACGATGGGTCTCTTTGGAGACCCTGAGCAAGCGAGCTCACCAGCCAAGGCCCAAGGCGTGGGAGCCTACCATCTAGATAAATTAAGTAATTTAACTATTCTACTTGACTTCCCCAGCAGGCCTCCGGGCAGGTGGTACTTAAGCCCCAGGAGAGGTCCTAGGCAGACACAGGAAAGCTGATGCCTGGAGCAAGGCAGGGGTGGAGGAGGGAGCGGCTTTGACCCTCGGTTTTTTGTTTTTCTTTCTTTCCCCAAGGCCACCCTCAGAGTTATAATTTAGAGCAGATCAAAAGACGTCAAATGGCATCATTCTGCTTTTATCACTAATTTTATAGTCTGTTTTATTTCCCTTTTTGTGTGCATCTTTTCAGTTTTCTCTCAATTGTACTTTCATCTTCATCAGATCTCTCCTAACGTCTCTCATATCCCAGAAATTGATTCCTTCTATTCAAATGGTTAATAATTCAGGAGATAATTAGTCGGGTGAGCCCTACCTTCCTTTGTTGTTGGCAAAATACACTCATCTCAGCTGAGGCCAGAAGAGACCCTCAACGGACCAATGAATATTTATTGCTGATTTCCTTTTAGGCGCCTCCTACATGCTTCGCAAGCTTTAAACCTATACCTCCAGCAAGAGGACACCCCAGCCCCGCAAAAGTCCCCTCTTCCCAGTAACTCAACCCCGCTCTTCCTCCCAAATGAAGCCCAACTTTTCTAACTAGCCATGCAAGACTTTGGAATAATCCACTTGGCCAGGAGAAGGGGAAGAATGTTTGTAAATTTACATCTAATCGGACTCTGATTCCTAGTATTTTCAGTCATCAGAAAATTAATTGCGTTGTGACTTTAGGAGCAACGTGGGGGATCAATTCAGATAAAACAACTTGTACTCCCTTCCCTTTTCCTGACTTTGCCATCAGGCCGCACCCCCGGTTGCTAGGGCCACTTGGACCAGCCCAGCCGCCCGCCCCGCCCCGGGCCGCACGCCGGCGGGGATTGGTCCCGCCGAGCGAGGTGGCGGGAAAGGCTGTGGCCGCGGGCTCCCCGGGGACCCCGAGCACCGGTGGGCAGCGGGTGAGTGAATGTGCGGATTAGGGGGACTTGGGAGAACTGCGTCCCTGCGAAGCTCCGGGGCACTCCGCGAGGGCCTCAGCCCCCCTTCCCGCCGCCGGGTTTAAAGGCAAAGGGCGGGGCGGGGCGCGCACGGCAGCCTCCCCCCTGCGTCCTAGGTGGGTGCCGGGGCGTTTCCCACGCGCCGGGGACGCTCCTCCCTTCTCCCCGCGCCACTCGGCTCAGCCTGGTCCTCGTGGGTGGGTGGGTGTGGGGGGCTGTGGTGGGATGGGGCTTGGAACCCCGAAGGTAGAACAGAGGTTCCTGGGCATTTCCCCTTCGGAACGCCCATCCAGTTCAGACCCGAAAAACAGGGGTGCAGCTTGGTGGTCAGCGGGAGCGGAATTCAGAGGTCGCTTGGCTTATATCTGGGGTGTTTTTGTAGAATGGACTTCTTATTCCCGCCCCTGCGTTCCCTTGGGTGTAAAACTTACGGAGGGTACAGACTGCCTCTGCGTGTGTCTGTTAACTAGGCGCCAGCCACTGGTTAAGCTCCTTTGAGTCTCAATTCTTCACTCTGCCTTTCATGCTGCCACGAGTTACCTTCATAAAAAGTCAATCTGGCCGTTTGAGATTAAATTGAAAACCCCTCTTAGGCCACCCACAGCCTGGCATTCTTAGCTGGGTGTCCATGGCTTTTCACAGTGTGGCCCTGACCCTGACCCTCTAAGCCTCATTTTCCAAACTCCCTAATATGTTTCCTGTCTCACGCACTGGACTCCCAGCCACGGGGAAGGGTGTGCCTGCACTGTGCCCTTTCATGCCTTGGTACCTATGCTGCTGTTCCCTCTCCTTGAAGTTCTGGCCACTTCTCTGCCAAGTGAACTTCTCTTTCAGGACTGAGCTCAGTCATCCCTCCGAAAACCTCTATTCCCGGCTCTTCCAGACCGAAGCAGTCACATCTTTGTGTCCGTTAAGTACTGTACCTCTGCTACCAGTGGCACTGGTACAACTCAGTAATATGTTCCTGAGCTCCTAACACGTACCTTGCACTGCACTGTGCTCAGTGCCAGGTGGACAGAGAGATGAATAGGACAGAGTTCCTGCCTTTAAGGAACTCATAGTCTGGAAGGAAAAACACATGTAAATGAGTCTCTGCAGTTACAGTGTGACAGAGAAGTCTGCCTTGGCCTCCTCACTCCAAACTCTCTGGAGTAAGCTTATCTACTTCCACAGCTTCACTCACTCTCCTGGTATATCCTGATACTTCCACAACGTCAGCCCTAACCGCTCCTTCCGCACCTTTGAGACTTGTCCACTTGGGTTCAGATGAGGGACCATATATTGGGCATCTACATTGTGCTGAACACAGCGATTCCTGAGCTCAAGGAGTTTATATTATAGTGCAGTTGTTAAGGGGGATTGAGCTAGAATCACCTGATGAGCATGTTTAAAACACTCTTATCCAAGTCCCCCCATAAATTTTAATTCAGTAACTAAACTGCAAATTCAAAGGAGACTAAGAAGCAGTTCCTGCTCTTAGGGAATCTAAGGCTAATGGAGGGAGACAGACATTTTAATAACAATCTGTTTAAGTGTTCTGTACAACATGAGCTGATGCCATGATGCAACTCTATTACATGGCACAAAAGAAGATGTCCATTCTGTCTGGAGAAGTCAGGAGGGGTGCCATTTGGACAGAGTCTTAAAAGATGAGTGAATAGACTCCAGGGCCAGACAGAGGAATGTCTTGAGAGAGAAGCTTAAAAGCAGATAGATCATGAAGGACTTTGTATTGTAAGCATTAGTGGCCACTGAAATTTTGTTTTGTAAAGTAGTGCATGCTAATGGTAGACAATTCAAATAGTACTAAGAGGTACTGTTTGAAAGGTACATATTTCTCCTGCAGACTCCCCACCCCCAATATTTCCAGAGACAATCACTATGAAGTTTGTTATGTATCCATTGGAGGATTTTAGGCAAGGTGGTTAGATAGCCAAATCTGGTAGCCATATTGTGAGTAGACTGAAGAGAACAAGACTGGAGGCAGAGAAAGCGGTTAGGAAGCAGTTGAGTAATCTAAGCAAGAGATACTCAGGACCTGAAGTAAGGCAGGTCCTGAGTATGGGGATGGACAGAGGTCGGATAGGAGAATTTAAGGAAGAATTGGCCTGAGTCAGTGACCTGAGGTATCTGGGATAACTCCTAGGTTTCTTCTGTGAATAACTGAGTAGATAGTGTCAGTCGCTGAAAGATCCAAACATAAGTGGAGACAAATTTGGGGCGGGGGTGTTCAATTTTGGATATGCTGAGTGTGAGATATACACAGGATGTACAGGTAGACAGTGCTATTCATTAGCGTAATGTGGGATGGCACCATGAGAGCTCAGGGGTAAGAGATACAGATTTGCTTGCTAATGGTTCGGAGATGGTAGTTGGAGATGTGGGAGAGGATGAGTTTGCGAAAAGAGGCTGTGTGAAGTGAGGAAAAGGACTATAAAAGTGCAGACCTTGGGACATCAGCTCTTGAGGAGCAGGCAATAGGGGGTCAAAGAAAGGTGTTGTGTGTTTTTTTGAGATAGGTTTTTACTGATTTCAGAGAGAGATAGAAACATCAGTGCTGAGAGAAAAACCATCAGTTGACTCATCTGCCTCCTGCACTCCTCCACTAGGGATGGAGCCCGTAACCTGGGCATGTACCCTGACTGGGAATTGAACTGTAACCTCCTGGTTCACAGTTCGGCACTCAACCACTGAGCTACACTGGCTGGGCGGAAATGTTTTGTTTTATGTTAAGTTTTTCCCCCCAAAGATAGAAGATCTCTGAGCAACTCATGGGAATGGGGTCAGTAGAAAGAGAAGATTGGTAACAAATGAGAAATGAGGAGCAACCAACTAAGGGACAGAATAGTGATTATCGGTCATACAAGTGGAGAGCTTAGATTAGAAGCAAAGAAGTCAGGGTGGGCATTTGAAATGTGTACTCCCTCTGTCCCATATGATAATAGCAGTTGATGAATGTAATTTGTCCCATAATAATAGTAGCAAAAGAAAATAAATATAGAACGCAACATTTATTATCAAAAAACTAGATTAAATTAAACAATAAATTAAAAATAGTACTCCTAATTTTTATTTTGAGTGTTCAGATAGTTTCTGGATTTTTCAGTAATTTCGTTACTGCATTTTAACCTTGTAGGTAGGATCTGTTGGCTGCGAAGCTTTGCTTTCCCTATATGCGTGAGCTTAAAATTATTGGAGCCATCGTTCTTCATTGCTTCCAGCATAACTTGTTAAAGTGACAGAAACGTATTATCCAGTATTTTGGGAGAAATATTATCAAAGGCTAATATGGTGCCTCTTCTGCTAAGAGGAATATGTCTAAGTTTTTCATAATCTTTGAATATGTCTAAGTTTTTCCATAATCTTTGCATTTACGTCCACAGTTTTGTTTTTTTCAAAGAATCAACATTAGCATAGGATTCTCCTTGACAATTATTTTCGGAAGCACGTTTCCAAATTCTTGATATGGTCATTCTGTTGCACTTAAGTTGTTTTGCAGCTAACGTAATTGCACCTTTCTGCAACTTTTCCTTTTTCTTTTGATGCATCAAGAACTGGACAATCGCAACTCGATCTTTGCTTGAAAACTCTCTTTTTTTCATCTTACTTTTACAGTGGGTTGATAGCCAACTGAAATAAAATAATTGATTTCGATCAGCGGATGAAATTAGAAAAATAGTTATAATTCGTAATAATTAGATTAACCTAAAAATTGAAAGATGTGTCAAAACAAATGACAGATGTCATGAAACATTGATTTTGATTGAAGGCTTCGCAATTTTGCGCTACAACATAACTTACAGCTGCATTCGCCAATAATTCCCGTTTAAATATTCACTTGCTCCTATTATTGTGGGACAGAGGGAGTATTATGTTTTTAGGCTTAGGTGCAGAGAGCTGAGAGAGGTCATGTCCGATGACCTCAGTTCCTAAGAGGAGGAGAGCAGGGAGACCAGGTAAGAGGTGTCGGAGGCAGTGGAGTAAAGGGGCTTGAGGATAACGGTGAAAGTTAGAAACAGCTGCTCTTTGGGATACAAAAGTGGGACAGGAACACTAAAATGATTTGCTGGGCCAGGCTGAGAGCCCTGCTCAGGTTGGAAACTATGGGTTCGTTGTGTATCGCTGTAGGGGATTGTATGGTGTTCTTCAGCAAATCAGTGTCAACATTTAAGTCCAGGAATCTAGAAAGCAGAAGGTTGCATTGATCTGAGGTTGGAATCTTTTGCAGGGTAAGTGCAGTGAAAAAAAAAAAGCAGATTGAGACCACAGAGAGTGTGATATGTGTAGTGATACAATAGTAGGATATGTGGCCCTACTTTGTCCGGCCCCAATTTGATGATTTTTGTTTTTCACCTCAAAAATCTTCAGTGACTCCCTCGTTTATGTTCTAAATCCTTGAATTGATAGACAAAGGCCAGGTTTTCCCATAAAGCAGGTTCCAGCTTTGCTTCCTTTGCTCTCCTGTTAGACTCATCTGTTCCTAGTGGCTCTCTCTCTGCTTTTGCTCTGGCAGTTCTCTGCCTAAATTCACCTCCTCCCAGTTTCCTGGGATGAATCCTTTGCAGCCTTCGAAAGTCCATTTCTAATCACAGTTCCTCAGACAAAATCTCCTTGGCCACTGTATCCTGAAAAGAGCCCTAGCTTTTCAGAATTTCTTTTTCAATGTCACTTATTTACAGCCTGCACCAAGTCTTTTACATTGTATCTTCTATATTATATGGGGTTTATTTCTGAAGTTAAAAATTTTCAGCACCACCGTTGCACTTGCACAACATGATCTTTTGCCTAGAAAGCTCTTCCATAGCATTTAGTGACTGACTATCGAGTCAGTAGATGGAGAGGAAATTAATCTTTTGAGAGCTCTTCCTTTGTGCTCACCACTCAGTAAAGTGCTGCATATTAGTGCTTCTGAAGGATCAGGTAGGGTTCTCTTCCCCCAAGTTGTTGCAGATCAGTACTTT